TTTTTTTTTTTGTGTCCAGCAGTTCAGTAAATTATTAGATATCAAAAGGTGAAATTGAAACCGCATTGTTTTGTTACCAAAGGTTATTTTCTCCTAAATCATGCTCTGGAAAATTGAATAGACAGACCATTATGTAGTGCTGTATCGGTTACATGCAGTAGACAGCAACTAATGCCGCCCGTTAAAGGATTGGTTTAGTGTTACAGTAGTTTAAATACAGGGTTCAAGTACACAGAGGGGTCACTCTAAATACCACAGGGGCAAACAACATACATTACACTCCTCCACCTCACATCCTCCAACAGCAGTTTATATTTTTACTTATTTTATTTATTTATTTTTTGTATTCATTTCATTTTTTTCGATAGACACTTTGTGCAGCGAGTTGGACCAAGAGAGAAAGGCTCGTTATGCAATACAACAGAAGCTAAAAGGTAATTTTATCTGGTCCAAGAAGGAATACGTGTAATCTTTGCCTTCAATTCTAAATATGCAAGTGGAACTTTTTATTAAACATCTGTGATCGGTGATCAATAGACAATATTTAAATTACCACCACCACCAACAACAAAAAGCAATAAGGGGTAGGTTTACAATTTTCAAAACAGTCTCAAGGCAGTGCTCACATGCACACATTAAAACACTGAAAGCACCGCTGTGTTCCTCCTGGTGGCTCTTCAAGCGATTTCAGTGTAAGTGACCAAAAAGCCACAGCAGGCAGCACTCAAATAAAGTGCCCATCTTCCAAACTGGCACTTATTTACAGCTTATTTTCCCTCTTTTTTTTTTACTGGTCCTCCACCACAGCTCAGCACAGAAACATTGTGTTTTTACAACCTTTCCATCCACCTGATTGTCTGTATACTTAATCTGTGCAAAAAAAAAACCCCAAAAAAAAACCCCAGCTGCAAATGCATTTTGCATGAATTTGTACGTAATGGAAAATGCTTATTAATAAAGGTGAGCTGGAAAGAGCATTTGTAAGTCATATGACTTTAACACCCAGTGAAGATAATAAAAATTATGGCCCAATTTGCAAAAAGAAATAAGGAGAATGTGGCCAAATTCAAGCAAACCCCAAAAATGAGTGGAAATGCGCTTTATTTCCTGTCTTCTTTCTATTCCTTTTCACATCGTTGTCCAACGTTTTGAGGTTTTACTGCTGATTTTCTGATTATGTCTCCTTGCTGCTTCCTCTTCTTCTGCAGTGGTTTAATGGCGGCGAACGGGGAGTTAGCTCCACCAACTGTTTCATTTAATTAACAGAAATGTTAATTAATTCTCTTCAAATTTGAACAACATTTGGTGGGAAAGTTCAAATTTGTGGAAACAAAGAGTAAATAGGACTTGGGAGGCGGGGGCGAAGGGATTTTTTTTTTTTCCCCCTGTCACTTACACTGAAGTCATCTTAGGACACGAGGAACATTTACAACAAGTAGAAAGAAAATAAGGGTTGAATATGTGAGTATTGTTACTCTTTACAAGATCAGAGGAGGCATAGATCCAACTCACACTTCATTGTGTCATCGGTAGTTTGTGAGGTTGCATTGTCTGCATTTCCGCTGCATGTTCTCACTGATGGACTCGTTCCTCCCCAGAAGCTCACGACGCCCTTCACCATTTCTCCTGCAAGATGCTCACCCCCCGTCAGTGCACCGGAGCCTGCACCTTCAAACCCCCGCTGCTGCCTCCCTAGTGCCTGGCACAACACAGCACCTGACCCCAGCACAGCCCAAAAAAATTAAAAAAAATAATAATAAAAAAAAGCAACACATATATACACACACGCACATACATAGATATGAACACACAGGCCCGCCTCAAGAGCTCTCACCTCCCACCAAGGAGCACCAACCTGCTGTACAGATGCACTGCTGATTTTAGCACCTGACTTGAGCAAACCCACCGAGACTCAGAGGAGAGGGATTTGACGCCTCCTCAAAATAATAAAAGAAAAAGAATAAAACTGAACTCTTGTATTAGAGAGATCAGGGTTTGCTTACACACAGAGTTTATGTTGGGAATCACAGGATTATAGACGTGAAGCTGCAAAGCTCAAACCAAGGAGTGTCCCCGAGTAAAGCTGTCTGCTCTTGAGCTATTCTGAAAAGAAAGAGAAGAAGAAAAAAACCCAACACTATATACATACAGTATATATATCATGTGACGATGTGCAATGTACATTTGTGATATTAAGTTCAAAATGTATCTCATTGTTTAGATTCTGTTGCTTGTTTGAATATGTTGGATTTTTACATATGTTTGTTATTTATCTGTACTGGATTTAACTTATTGTTTAGATGATTTGTAACACTGTACGTGGTTAAGCACTTTAAATGGGCACAAGTCATGAATTTGACCAAATTCTCTCATCAGAACTACGAGTATGTTTATGGTTTGAATAGAGCACATTAATATTGTTATTACGAGCACTTAATTCAGCAGCCCTTCAGGTTTCACATCAAACAATAAAAGACTTTTCTTTCACCGAGTGTCGCGTCACGCCAGCTCTGAAGTCTTTTTTTGTAATCTCATGTGCATTTTAGACACAAATCCATCACTTTCTCTGTGCCAGGGCGACATTCATCTGTGAGACACAACCAAAAAATCCTTTCTTGTCCACGTGACTGTCTTTTTTATATGAGAAGACACTGTGGGAAATAGAAACAAATGCCAGTTTCTGACTTGATTTACTCACAATTTACCAGTTTCTGTATGCACTCATGTCCATATGAATAAAATGTGAAGCCACTTTCTGCTCTGTAGCCTTTTACTCCATTGGTTTCTTTCACCGGTGCGAGCCTGACACCTGCTGGCCTCCGCGCAGAATAACTCCTCGTGAGGTGGCTCATATTTCGCCTTATTGTATTTGAGTTCAACATGATCTCTTTCATTAGGCAGCTACATCGGTGCATGACATGTCCAGTCAACTTATAATGTTTGACGTCGAGTCAGGGGAGCAGGCTGATCTAATAGTGAAATCTAATTCTTCTGATGGGAGGACTAATAGATATTGATTACACAGCTCTCGGTCCCTGGATGCTGAGAGAGATACTCACATAATGTCACTGAGACACAATGAATGTTAATTTTCTGTGAACGTAATTGCCCTGCGTGGCAAAGCTCATTCCCTCTGAATACTAACGAGGCCCGCAGAGCTGAGCACAACTACGGCGGGAACGATTGGCTGCTTTACTGTAGTGTTATCCAGCCGCTGTAATATTAAGCAAAAGCTCATTGAGTCTGATATGAATGGATGGATTATGCGACAGCGGGAACCTGGGCACAAAATAACTACAAATGACACAGCAGCGTGTTTTCTCTTCTCCTCTCTGTTAACGTGTGGCATCTATTTAGCCACGTTTTGCTCCGTCTAGTTATTTTTCATGTCCTCGTGGTCATTTTGTAGCTCTTTGTTGAAGGTTTCTATTTCTTCTGTCTCTTTATTGTTATTTTGTATCATTTTTTAAGGCATTTTACATCTCTTTGCCATGGATTTGTTCCTCTCGGCCATTATGTTGCATCTGTTTTTTGGTCATTTTATGTCTCGTCATGGTCATTTTGTCTCATTGGGTATTTTTCATCTCCTTGTGGTCTTTTTGTGCTTCTTTATTGTTGGTTTGTATCTCTGTGGAGTCCTTGTGCATCCCTTTGTGGTTGTTTTGTGTCTCTTTGGGGAGTCTTTGCACCTCTTTTCTTTTCTCTCCCTGACCTCTTGACCTCT